AGCTCACAGCAACCTCCAGCTCTTGGGCTTAGGCAATTCTCTTGCCTCAGCCTCCTGAGTAGCTGGGACCACAGGTGCCTGCCACAACACCCGACTATTCTTTTTGTTGCAGTTTGGCCAGGGCCAGGTTTGAACCTGCCTCCCTCGGTATATGGGGCCAGGGTCCTACTCACTGAGCTACAGGCACCGCCCAGGTGCTGACTTTTGAGGTTACCAAGGTTTAAGAATAACTTTGGGGAGGAGAGTAAGAGCTTTCTTCACATAGCTCCAGTGCCCCAGAAGCCTCAGGGCTCCTAGGAAGTATCAGATCTTAAACAGAATCTCTGTGTAGTCATAGCTGAGTTTTCTTGATTCCTCTGGTACATCAGAGCTGTCACTATGTGGAAGCACTGTGGAAGGTAGAGGGGACTGGGTTAAGGGAGAAGTGAACTCCCCCTCCTCACCCCAAGGCTGCAGAGCTCTATAGGGTGATGGTCTCAGAGTTGATACCCTTCTCTAACCAACCTTTCTTTCTACTAGGTTATCTTAACTGTGAAACAGACTGTTTCTACAGTTTCAGATCCAGGTGAGAATATGGGGCAGGTACTTAATTTGTAGGCTGGAGCCTGTTTGAATTTGATCAGATGGAAGCCATAACTACTACTGTTTTTTTGAGACAGTCTCATTCTTGTCATCCTTGGTAGAGTGCGTGATGTCATAGTTCACAGCAACCTCAAACTCTTGGGCTCAAGCAATTCTTTTGCCTCAGCCACCCTAGTAGCTGGGGCTACAGGCACTGCCACAATGCCCAGCTATTTTTTGTTGGTTGGTTTAGCAGGCCTGTGCTGGATTCGAACCTACCATCCCTGAAGCATATGGCTGGTGCCCTAACCACTGACCTATGAGTACCCAGCCAGAAGCCATAACTTCTAATGTTCCCTGGGAATGGGAATAACACTTTGGTTTCTGATAAAAGTCAGTCACTTGAGGATCTTATTCAGAATATTCTGAGCATTGTCCTGTTACTCTCCCCTTTTCAGGGAGAGTAGACTCTCCATTTGTTATCTTTCCCTGTCTCTGCAGGCCTCGCCATTTCTGTCTCCTCTGTCTCCACCTTCCTGATGTCTCTTGGCTGGCCCGCTGGTGTGTGGACTTATACATGATGAATTGTGAACTTCTAGCCACATGCAGTGCCCTGGGGTACTTGGAGGGAGACACTTATCACAAGGAACCAGATTGCTTAGGTAAGTACCTTTTTGAAAAAATATGTAAAAACATGCTTTCATTGAGGACGTCTGTTGAATTTCTCAGTCCTTGGATGTGAAAAGCACATAGGCCTGGACAGAGCTTCTTCCAGGTTTCTATTACTTGTTATGCTCTGTCTAGAGAGTGTGAAGGACTTGATCCGTTACTTGAGGCATGAGGATGAGACACGGGATGTACGGCAGCAGCTGGGGGCCGCTCAGATTCTGCAGAGTGACCTCCTGCCCATCCTTACCCAGCACCGCCAGGACAAGCCTCTATTTGATGCTGTTATCAGGTTGACACTCCAGCTTTTCACCTTTTACCATATGTCAGCTTTTGATGTCTGTGTCTGGTGAGAGAACTTAATGACTTGGCTCCATCATTGTCTCCCCAGACTGATGGTGAACTTGACACAACCAGCCTTGCTCTGTTTTGGCAGTGTGCCGAAGGAGCCCAGCTTCTGGCACCATTTTCTGCAGGTGCTAACTTATCTGCAGGCATACAAAGAGGTGAGGCTTTTCCTTCAGTGTTCCTGGGACTGAATTTGAGGCAGTGGAAGAGAAGCAGGTGAGTACTACTTAAGATCTGTTCCCCATTTATCAGGCCTTTGCCAGTGAGAAGGCATTTGGAGTCCTCAGTGAAACCTTGTATGAGCTGCTGCAACTGGTGAGTGAGTCTTCACCTTATAAGATCTCATGAGACAGCACTTTTTTTTTTTTTTTTTTTTGGTAGAGACAGAGTCTTACTTTATCACCCTTGGTAGAGTGCAGTGGCATCACACAGTTCACAGCAACCTCTAACTCCTGGGCTTAGGCAATTCTCTTGCCTCACCCTCCTGAGCAGCTGGTACTACAGGCACCTGCTACAATGCCCTGCTATTTTTTTTGTTGTTGCAGTTTGGCTGGGGCCAGGTTTCAACCCACCACTCTTGGTTTATGGGCTCAGCACCCTATCCACCGAGCCGTGGGTGCCGCCCCGACAGCACTTTTTTAAGTTTTTTTTGTTTGTTCGTTTGTTTTAGTTTAGTTTTTTTTTAGATAGTCTTGCACTGTCGCCTGGGCTAGAATACAGTGCCGTCATCATAGCTCACTGCAACCTCAAACTCCTGGGCTCAAGCAATCCTCTTGCCTCAGCCTTCTGGGTAGCTGGGATTATAGGCCCTTACCACCATGCCTAGCTAAGTTTTCTATTTTTTGTAGAGATGAGATCTTACTCTTACTCAGGCTGGTCTTAAACTCCTGAACTCTAGGATTGCAGGTGTGAGCCACCATGCGTGGCTTTCACTTTTTACCTCTTCTATACAGGGAAGATACTGAGATGCAGTCCCAGTTCTTGGAGATAATATCCTGTCCATAGTCTCTGGCTGCTCAGGACTGCCTCAATTCCTTCTCTTTAATTGAGATTCTCTGCCTTGGTCCTCTAGCCAAAGTAGATGCTGCCTACCTTCCATCTCTTCTTCTGACTCTTTTCCTGACTAGGGCTGGGAAGAACGGCAGGAGGAAGACAACTTGCTGATTGAACGGATCCTACTTCTGGTCAGAAATATTCTCCATGTCCCAGCTGACCTTGATCAGGAGAAGGTGAGGGTGTTGAGCAGTCAAGCTCTTGGGCTTGGTTAGGTTGAGCTGTCCTTATTAGGCTTTTCTGTGCTCTGAAAAGTCTGGGAGAAGAATCTTAGTCAGGCTCGGCCTCTGTGGCTCACGTGGCTGGGG